GATAAGTTTCTTGTTGGGCTGGGTATGGCTGCAAAAAAAACATTTTTGCACTGCAATATTGGGCGAGGTTATGTCAGAAAAGCTACTATACCTGGTTAATGCAGTCTCGTCGCTTGCGCTCAACACGGTTGTGGGTTTCACGACGTCTCTGCAGCTTGTCAAGCGCAGTCTTGGTGTCGAGTGGTTTGCGGTTGAGGATGTTGACTCCGGCGAGGTCAAACGACTTTGAAGTCTTGAAGGACTCTGACGAGATACTGCCTTCAAATCGAAAGACTTTTGGCGTCTTAGGGGCCGATTTCGACTTGGATGTGTCTCCTCCTGCTGCTGCTGCTGATGGTGTTGAGGCGGTGGTGGATTTTGGGCCAGGTTTTGCTTTGGTGGTCTTGGTTGCCGTTCCGGTCTTGGATGATTTGGCAGTAGAGGCGTGTGTTGCAGATAGCGTTTCAGTAGCAGGCGGTGCTTGTGCTGGAGAGGAAGCCGAGGTGGAGGCTGTAACAGGGTCAGTTGGATACTGATGCTGTGGTTGAGTGTAGTATGTGGGATGGCCGTGACCGTAACCGGGACCAGGTGGGTATTGTTGAGGATAGTTTGGTGGAGGGTAGGGCTGGTAGGGATGGTGATAGGGATGATGTTGAGGGTGAGGATGGTGGTGGTGTGGCTGTGGCTGTTGGTGCTGTTGCGGTGGTTGGCTTTGTGGGTGGGAAGGGTAGTAGGCTGGGTATGCCATAGAAGGGTATGGCCCTGGTGCACCAAAAGGAGGAGGTGGAGGCGGAGAGGAAGGTTGCTGGTTTGAGGACATTAGTAGAACAAGGGTATCTGTTTTTCTTTGTGGTGGGTGGTTGTTCTAAAGAAGAGGGTGAGTGGGCACGAGATGAACGGAGTGATGAAAGAGATGTGGCAAGTAAGTGAGTTGTCTGCGGAATGAATAAATGAAGGAAGGAGAGTAAAGAAAGAGATGAGAGTGATTGAGAGAGAAAGAGCGGTGGCGAAGACAAAAAAAAAGAGTAAGGTAGGATCAAATAAGAGAAGAGAATGAGGATGAATGAATGAATGAATGAATGAATGAATGAATGAAAAATGAAGAGAAGAAGAAGGGAAGTGAAAGAGTATAAGGATGAAAAAGAAGAGAAAAGGGAAAAATAAAAAGAAAGGGAGGGCTTCGCACAAAAAAAATAAAGGGCCAAAACTGACCCTCGGTAACAACCAAGGTCAAAAAAGACTTTTTTTTTTTCCCCGGGGCGAGAGTTATTGCGAGAAAAAGGATGAGTCTGGTGACAAAAAATTTCCTGCTTGGGGAGTGAGAGCCAATCTGTTGCCCACTTGTGCTCGTGTCTCTCTCTATCCCTCCTCTCTTGTCTGTTGTGTTGTTTCTCGTTTGTCCGATATTTAGCAGAAAAAAAAGAATTCTCAACATACTCACTCCCTCACTTAATCAGATAGCAACCCAGACCCCCCTCCCCTTTTTTTTATATTACAATCTCATTCTGTAATATTCGGTCAAGTACAAAGTACAATGAACAAAGGATGTCAGATTGGTTATCATCGTGCCGACCCCCTCATAGTTCTTTTAAAAACCATCATTTTGTTCATGCGTGCAAGAGCTAAGCAGCTTCGCTATTTCGTTGTTTTTACCAGGCAAAACAAGAAAATAAAAAGAAAAAAAGCAAACGATCGAATCAACAAAAAAAAGGTGTCCATGTGGATCGCTTATTCTCTATTACAAAACTAGAAAACAAGTCGAGTCGACTGTCTAGACTCTCTTTTCTCTCTCTTTCAAAATAAAATAAAAAGAGAGCCAGCCCAGCAGACAAAGGAATGCTTGTTTTGTGTTCATAGGAATCGAATACACTTTTTTTTTTTTCTTCCTTCTGCCTTCCCTCGGCGCCTGGCTTCCCCGTTTCGCCAATGGTCCAATGTCGCACAATCACACACTTTTCCACACCTTCTTCTTTCTTCATCTGTCATTTTTCATCGCCGCCTCCTTTGATTCGCTTGGCCATGCTGCCTTTCTTGCTGTTGTTACTGTTGTTGCTGTTGTTTGCTTTTGTTGTTGTCGTTTGGTGGTTGATGGGATGTCAATTGTTCTTTGGTTTCCTTCTTTTGAAGTAATTATGCGACCAGCGTCGAGACTAACCTTCTTTTGCCAAAAGGGCCACTCAACTAAAAATATGATGAAAACGTGCTTGGGGGCTGCAGAACCAGATGCTTGCAAGCAAGAGTAGTAGAGAAGGGGTCCTGCCACTCCCACTTTCAACTCAATGCTCAATTTATTTATTTATTGTAGGTGAAGGTAGAAGAGTGCACTGGGACCACTTCTTCCGATTTTGGTGCTCGGTATCATCTCTCATGTACTCTCTATTGCACCTTTCTTTTCTCATTTCCTCTTCCTTTTTTTATCACTTTGTGGAGAGTATTATGTGTTCTGCATACATGGATGATGATGATGATGATGGTGCTGATCTTGAACGATGGAGAAAGTACCTCCCATCTATAGCCTTGAGTTATTGAATTTTCGCTTTTCGTTGCTCTTCGTGAACGACAGCACCATCGGCAACCTCCACGACAAATAAAAGAAAAAAAAAACATTACATTTGTCATCGATGAGAAAAAAAAACGCCTTTAAGCCCTTGACTTTCGACAGTGAACTAAAACGAGCATTCACAACAAACAAACAAAAACAAACAACAAGACGTTCTTCCCCTTCGTCTCTGTCACCTTTCATCATCATTTCCCCTTCAATTGACTCCTCCTTCTCTGTCCTCCTCCTCCCCCTTTATTTTCTCTTTCTCCTTCGCAACCCTGGTAAAACTGATCCTTTTTCCCCTTCTCGTTATCCAACTCTCTCGAGAACACCAAAAGAAATGAGAGAGAAAAAAAGAAAAAAAGCAACGGAGACAGACTCATCCTGTCGACCTCGAACGACCCACCCATCCATCAACCCACACCATACAACGCACACCACACGCACAAACAGTTTAAGGCAATCCGCTCTCGTCCCTCTCCTTCATCCCTTTTGCTCAAACCTTATTTTCCAACATGGAATTCCAGGAAACGTCTTTTTCGATCCAACTGCCCGTTGTTTTCCCCTATTCGGATGGATCCATTCGACACTAATTTTGAAATAGAAATAACAATACAGTTCGTGAGCACAAGGACATGGACAAGGACAGGGAAGGAGCGGGAGGGAAAGGAGGGAGGGTCACGGTCCATTTTTCACAAACATAACAATAGAGAGAGGGACAAATGAGCTATTGTGGCAACTGTTACCTGCCGGCCTTTTGGCCAACGACCCTCGGTACTGTACCGGTACTGTACTCTTGAGCATTGAGAGGCTAGGGCAAGGCAGGGGGTTGTCTCTAGTGTATGCTGTACTGTACCCGGGGTTTAATGATGAGAGAGCATCACGACAGAAAAAGAATAGAAAGGGGAAAAGGAAAAAAGAAAATGAGATCAAAAGAAGAGAGGAGTCTAAAGAAGAATAGAAACCGACCATAGAACATTCATCCGATCAGGACAAATAAAGAAACATAAAAAAAAGTGGAGTTCCCCACACACACTTGCTCAACCCTGCCACGTTTCTCCTCTCTTTCTCTCATTACAGTACCCATTCTGCAAAAGCAATTCATTTATCTCCTTTCTTGCTTTCTTGGGAACAAACTTGCTCTTCATTTTGGGCTACTTTTACCCAAATAAAGGACGAGACCTGGCTCGTCATTCTCTCTCACCTCTCTCATATCCATGACAACTCACTGGCCTTCCTCGTCTGTCGATCAGTAGTGGCTCCCACTGGATTAGCCTTCACCACGTACAGGCCCCTTTTATTTCACTCTCTTTGTCTTACATCGCCTTGCTTTGAACCGTCTCTGATCAATGAGGAATACACTTGCAGGTTATTTTCTTCCTGTGGCGCCGAGTTCTTGGATTGCACAGAGAGAGACCTTCTAGTCTCTAGGTACACACTAAGACCGGAACTAAGAGTAAAAACGCAACGAAAGCCGATATGGATGTTCATGGTCAGACTGGTACGATCTAGGAGAGAGAAAGTCGGAAATAGTGGGGTCTGAATCAAGATGACAAGGTCTTGGGCGTGCAACTCAGACAAAAAAGGTATTATACACTATGTCTGTGTGGTCAAACAAACTAGGTCATTCCCCTCTCTAGATGCCACTTTGTCTCCGCAAGGTAAACCCAAGGTGTCCCTACTTGGAAAAACCGGTACAACGTTCGGCGCGAACCTATATCCTACAAACCATTGGCACAAGACTGAAAAAAATAAAAAATGGCGTCGATGTGAAGGGCAAGCAGCAGGCTGCAGCCAAACCCTAAATGAGATTAATGTGCTACTATACGCCACCAAAAAAAACGTCGACTATATCTTAATTACGCCCTTGGTGTGCGCATGTGCTGACAGCGGTACTGATCAAGTAGACCAGTGTCCGTTCTTTATTCCGGGCTGAACAAACGCCGTTGTCGTCCCTGAGAGAGCAAGAAGGTTATTATTCAAGTTTGCACAAGGCAAGTCTAGGGACTGCCTCTACGGACCTCTCTGAACAGGGAAAAAAAAAAAAAAAAAGGACCACCGCTGTCGCCGCCGTCGCCGCAGTCGCAATGTGATTCATGTTAATATGCATACAGCCCTGGTTGCAATTCTTCATCCAATATGCAGGTCGCTTATTAGATATTGAAAGTTGTCGATTACATTTTACTCATCTGAAAATGGTAGAGATGGCTGTGACAACGATTGGAACTTTATCGGGTGGCGATCCATAAAATATAGGTTACAATCGGGCCTTGCTTTCTCCTTGAACCTCATGTCCATCCCTGGTATAACACTCTATCGAGATTCTTCTCACCATCAACGACACTCATGATTATTGTGAACAGGAGTATTGAAGAGACTTTGGGGCAAAACAAAACGCAAGCCTTTGCAGGACAAAGGATCTGCGACAAAAAGTGGTCGCTCAGCTCCACGCCCAACAGGAGAGAAAACAAAAAGATAGCGTCAACAGCAGGATTTGAACCTGCGCGGGATATCCCATGTGATTTCGAGTCACACGCCTTAACCGCTCGGCCATATTGACTTTCTTGATGGATTCCCGCTTCTCAAGAGAACTTTTGAATACCATGATTGCGGAAATAGTTACGGCAGCACGTGACATCTCTCGGATGAAAATTGGTGGCAAAAAAAAGGTGGCAGAAAAAAAAATCGGACCTACTCCGCGGCATCACCCCAAAGAGCATGTTGACTGAATGGTGCGCGGTCTTCAGAACCCCACAGTCCATCGCCAAGACGGTCCTCCACAAATTTGTTGGCTACCTGGAGACGCAGGCCTCAGAGCGGATCTGGAAACCCCGATGCTCCGCGACTATCGAGTGGGAGCAGACCCAGGGCATCTCTGTGAAGGACAAGACATCCAAATACACAGGTCCTCGTGGTGACTGGAGTCAAGGATATGGTTACATCACGCACGATGGTTTCTGCCCGTGTGGCGCTTCGCTAGCCACACATGAGGATCGGACATGCCCTGGAGCGACCAAGAATCCACGAGCAGCTGATGAACGGCTGTTAGACAGCTTGTTGGGAAGGAGGAGGTTAACATTGATGGAGAGGATGGGAAGAATCCCTTTCATTCGTATCTAGTTTTATTTTCTTCCGTTATTGCTGTGAGGAGCAGCGACAATTGTTGCGCAGAGCCAGGTCCCGGACCGGACTGTGACTGACGGATGGTTCACTGAAGAGTTTGGTCTGTAGTCCCCTTTACTTCCAAATGCCTCCTTTGTTCTGTTTGTCAGAGAAATAAAATTGTGTAAAAAAAAAAAGCAAAATGGTATGAAAAGTTGAAGAAAGACGGTATATGAATGTCAGGGATAGGGAAATGGCAAGAAAACTGCGAGAAAAAAAGAAAAGAGAGAAGTTTATGAATGGCTTGTAAAGGCAGGTGAGTGAATGTAACTGTTTGTTGGTCCTGGCGTTTGTCATTTTTTTTCCTTCACATCCACAATGTATGCACTGAGGACTCATTTCAAAGAAGGCGATGAAGGTTCATTATTGTATATCTGGGGAGCTAGGAAAAAGTAACGAAAAGCAGGAATAAGAGTCAACAAGAAAGAGAGGTGCAGACCCAATGGCTGACGAGGGGCGAAGGTCATCAAAGGTATTTTCTTCGCAATGATTACCTCTGGATTGATGCTAATTAGATGAAGTATTGGAATCAATTGTGAATTGACGAACTCATCGCACACACCATTTCTTCGGTAGCCCCTCTTCGACTGACATCTGCTTCGCCATCTCGATAAATACGCAGTTATTTTTGTCGATTTTTTCGATAGTAGTTACATCGCTCTTTTCTCCCATAACCCTTTATTTTCCCTCACTCACTCTTCAAATCGTAACATTCAACCATTCACTTCACACAACCTCACAGTCTTGTTCACATCTTCTCCTCCAACTCATCATTCACAACCCAACCTTCATAACAACACAACATGGCCAGCCAGCGTCACTATCGAAACTATGTTGCTGCCCGCAACGAGAATGACCACGTACCGGTTTCTTCATTCGACTCAAAAACAAATGACCATCCAAATCCCTCAACCACTCAGCTCATGGATAACGACACGCCCCCAACCTCCTTTGAGCACAAGCACGACATGGTTGAGCAGCATTTTATAGAGGTCTCTGGTCCCATCCCTTTCGGTAGCTCGGACGGTTATCTTGGTCGCGCAGTCTGCCTTACTCTCGGAACCCTTGACTGCTCTCGCCCACTTGATGACCCTGAACAGTTGACCCTTCATCGACATGCCGACCCAGAACGGTCCCTAGTCCCAATCGACGACCAGCACCTGGACCATCATCTCAAAGACTACCCGGATGTCATAGACTCTGTTCGCTGCCAGGCAATGTTGCTTCACCAGCTCCTTGATCACTATATCAATGGCAAACTCAGCATCTATCCCAATGCCCGTTCTGTGGAAACGCTGGACCTTATTCTCAATTTTATCAAGCCAGAGGCAAGTACTCTTCTGGAGCCTGTGAGCAAATCGGTGGGTCTTGTGTGCTGCCATATCACCTTCTTTGATCCTGTCCATAGAGAGAGCAACAGGATCCTCGAGTATATCACCATCGAGTACTGTTTTTCGCCCTGGAGTAAGGAGTGGGGCCGTCGAGTGAAACGAGATATAATCTGCAATAAGGGATACAAAAAATAGGTCTTCGCCATCCTCCTTCTCTTCTCAAATCTCAACTACACTCCTTTTTGCGAAATAGTCCACTTTTCATAGTAAATGTGAGCCATTTCGACTGAATTGAAAATATTAAGGGTGTTATTCATTTTATTTCTGCAAGGATTTAAAGGATCGCGTTCTCGGTATTACTTCTATTCCTCAAACGTTCGTATCAAGAGGCGTGCTGCTTTTCGGCGGTCCGCACTCTTGTCCCTAAGCATCTGGACCGTCCTAGTCGCCCAGTTGTCTCCTTCATACGTAGACTGGAACAATTTAACAACCTCAGCCTCAACGGAAGAACTTCTGTCTCGCGAGCCGTACCTCTTGGCGATCTTGTTGCGCACCTTCTGTCTGATCTCCTCTGCCATATCCTGTGCGTCCTTTTGGTTCTTGTCGAGGGAAAACTGAATCTTGTCTCCGTCCATGACCGAAGCAATCAATCGTACATAACGTCGCCTGGCTTGACTTGCATCCGCGTCCGTCACGGGAGGATACAGTGGTGGTTGCTCTTCCAGATATATTGATTCCTGCTCCAGCTTGTCAACTTGCGCCTGTGAAAGAACGCCCGCTTTGCAGAAACAATGCCTCACAGTCAAGGCCGTGACATGCGACCACGCGTACGGAATAAGTGACCATGCCTCACCATTGGTGATTTTCTCGCCAGTGGCATACTCCTTTGCAATTGATTTGTTGCTGAGCATCTCGAGATAGTGTCGTTTGAATGAGCTGATTATTCCTGCGTCCAAAGGTTGGGTAACGGCTGTTGAATGGGGTGGCAGGCGCTCAATCCGAAGATGTTTCCATGTCTCTTCTGCAAGCGGGTCCTGGATGTTAGCTTTAGGCTTTCCGTGTGCTCCACACGAGTCAATGAGCAGAAGGCTTCTGTTAATGAGGCTGTCGTCGAGCAAATGAAGCCATTGCTTGAAAAGACCCAGGGTCATGTATCCATTTCCGTGTCTCATGGAGGTAATAGGAACCTCAGGTAACACATGGATACCTCGAGCAAGGTGCTCGGCTAGAGTGTTAAGCAAGCAGACATGATTATTAAATTCATTTCTTATTACTTTATATTGATACAAAAGCAAGACGTTTTTATATCCTTACCAATGACTTGCAGCCTCAAAGCCTCTACCGTTCTTGCTCGGGCAAGCGAAGATCCTGAGGCGTTGACACAAAAAAGAATCGAAACGCGAGCTTCCCCCCGCTCTGGTTTGGCGCCACTAATCAACTCCTGCGTAGTGTACGAGTGAGTGGAGAGCTCCTTGAGGTACATGCCAGTCTCATCGCAGTTGTAGATGTCGTCAAGCTCATAGTCGGAGCATATGTTACGAATCTCGTTCATCCTTTCTGCAATAGCGTCCTTGTCGACAGATCCCGCTTCTCCTTTGAGACCGCAGTAGGCGACACTGTACTCCTGAGTCATTCTTGAACGCCACGATGATGTAAAAGAGATTGGACGGCCAAAAGGGATTTCATCGAAGGCGAGAATGTCGTCCATTAGAATGTGAAGAACGGATTCGGCAGCGGCCTGGAGCCGAAGACCACTGACAATTCCATTACTCTTCCGAACCTCCAGTAGCCACTCAAGGACAGTCTTGTCCATGATGTGTCGTATAAGGTCGACTGGGCTGCTGGAGAGTGTACATTTATCGCCTCGGCCATGTGCTACATCGAATTGGATCTTGTCGAACTCCTTGTCCCATTTTACGATTGAATGCCGTGGGACGGGGAAGCGCACAAACTGATGAAAATTGCTTGCCGTAACATTCGTGTCGGCGCTCTCCTTAAGATAACGGAAGATCTCAACCAATTCCATTCGACGCCTTAGAGGAAATCCTTCCCCCCTGTGGGCTTTTGGATAGGCAGGTTGTCGATGTTGTCGATGTTGTCGGGGTTGTCGGGGTTGTTGAGGCCGCTGAGGCTGTTGAGGTCGGCTTTTGACAATCTTGTTGTTGCGAGCCCGCGCTGCACACAACAGTGCTTGGTAGTGCAACGCGTCCGCTTCCTCTGTTTGTGTTGAGGCTCCGTTCTGGAGCTGGTTTACCACAGAAGTGATGTCCACGAAGGGAGGGCCTCGGAAACGAGTGTGGGGTCTGTTTTTTACCATATTGGAAGCGAGAGAGGAGTGAAAAGTAAGGATGACATGCTTTCGATGTAGTTATGAGCGTCAATATTGCAGGGAAATAAGGCGTTACGGAAATGAATAACACCCTTAATATTTTCAATTCAGTCGAAATGGCTCACATTTACTATGAAAAGTGGACTATTTCGCAAAAAGGAGTGTACAATAAATCAAGTTGTTCAAAAACGCATGGTGAGTTGCCTTCGCTTATCTATCGGGGTATTGACCTGGCAAGAAGTGCCATCTTCCATCCTTGATCATTATGTTTTGACTCTGCTGTTGCTTTACGACTTCGCCCAGGCTCATAAGAATTGGGGCCTTTGACCGTTATGAGTGAGGGTTTTGAACAGATGATGGGCAAAAATAGTGTATTGTTAACTATGACTTCCGTTTACAGCAAAGCATGTCGCCTTGCTTTCTCCACTCCCTTCTCTTCCACGTTTGTACTTTGGTCATCGCCTGTCCTCTCTGTCTTCGCATAACTTTTTAAACAGACCAGACAGCCGATTTTCATTTGTCCCTTCTTTCCTCCCTACCATGCCTCTCCACTTCCCTCTCCCCTTCCCTCCCTCTCCCTCTATGAACCCAAGAGGTAAGAACTTACTCCTCTTCCCCTCACAATCACGTCAACACTTCTTTCAATCCCTTTCACCAACAACCTCTCTGTAATCCATAACAGCCCCTCATGTCCTCACGACACGCACTTGCTGCTGTCATTACCTTTGACACACTCCC